GGTCAGACTTGTAATTGTTAAACGACTAACGTATATGACTAGCTATGCTTAGGAGTTCTGGGTAGCTCACCAACGTTCATATGCGGATACTCAGTCAGCCTCATCCGATCGACATTTTCGTTATACGTTCCGGCCATCTTGCTAATGGAGCGCATGCCGAAAACCCAGCCTAGCGAGAGCCTGAAGGTTACTCTAGTTGGAACGCTATTAGTGTCGGGGACGAAACCGGGCAATCAAAGCTGCAAATAACGAAGACGTGCATACATCAACGACTATTATACATGACATCCTAGTCACGGCCTTATCCTGATTGCTTTCAACCTATATTTGTTACAGTCAAGAGTTGATGTATGATCTTGTTTGCGGAGCAGACGATTGCGACCCCGCCTTCTAGTGCTGCTTTCCGTTCCTGAAGTGTAGTGTCACCCCACCCTTGGACAGCCTCGACAGCGAATTGACTATGGGATCATAGTCAATTTCGTCCTCGAGGAAACCTGATATGGGCTTTCCGAGCCATTTGCTCTGGGTGCTAGATTATCAGGCGATTTCACGGTTTGTACATCAAGAGTGTATGCTCTCAGACTGATTTCGCTGACAGCCTGCGACAAATGGCTGCATTCGTGCCAGAGCCTTGGGTGGCCTTCAAAAGCGAGAAAGCTTGGCGCTGCCAAGAAAGGCGTCAGCTATCCAAGCACCAGCTGGCGGCTAGCTGTAATTGTGTTGGTCTTGGAAATCGGGTCATAATGTACGGTGTGCTAGGCGATCTGGTCTTCTGCTTCCAGAGCTCCAATGAACTCTCCTTGCCTCTGCCCGCGAGCAGCCACTCGAGGGATCATCGACCAAGAACCTAATAATACTAGTAGAGCTCATAGGGACGCGATCTGCGTGATCGATATATACCGTACCGACGAATCTGAACGACGCGCTTTGACTCGAACACAGCGAGCGAAGACATGACTTGTGCGATGTTGTCAACCAAGACGGCAGAAAGGTACTATAGTAAGAGATATATAATACCCCGGTGCAGATATGTTAGTTTTGGGACATCTTTCCAACCTGCGGACACCGTCATTCTCGGTACATTAGCAATGATAGAAATGACCTGTGAGGAGTGACGAGATCAGAGAACTGCTTAGCAGGTTTGGTACCTGCAGTTGCTCACTTAATCATTTCGGCGTACTGACGCAGCGTTCGTCGATGATTCTGTCCGAGCCTCGAAGCTGTACCTGTGCAATTCAGGCGCCATGCACGGTGTGCAGTCATGTGGGGCCAACAACGCACGACACGTTGGGTGCGCACCGGTCGATGACCGCGGCACAGAAGCATCAGGTTAGGTGATCGACGCAGCGTTGGGTTTGTGTTGATCCGGATAGTCGAGGACTGCGCTTGTATGGCAAGGCGTCGTTGAAAGCTGAGCCAGGGCGCGTGCTAAAAGACCGGCTGTGGGTCTTGGTCCCCTCCCCCCCCCGACGAGATCTCGGTTCACAACCACTAGTAAGCTCTCGATCATGCAGTGACGCAACGCAGAGACATTTCTACGGAAAAGTGATCACGGTAGAACTCGAAAATAGGGCAGTGCGTATGACTCAAGTTGCCTCTGATCAGATGACACATGCCCTCCAGGCGTAAAGTGAGGTTGGCGGAGGACGACTCGGGCGCCGTTGACCCCACTTTACAGGGTCTCCTACCTCTGGCGCCACGCCCCGCAACGACGGCACACGAGGCGCCCGAGACCTTCTCAACTTCCCCTGGGATTATGCGAATCCTCATACTGCTCTCGAGCGAGCTGTAGCGCAACAACGTTGCAGTGATGTTGCGAGCTACGAGGGCCGTCGAGATATGCATTGAGTGAGAAGTCACGACCACATGATACCATTGAAAAGGGGGACACGAAGAGTGTATGTGAAGCGTCTGTTGCCGGGGGTAAGCTACAGAATCGATGGTAATCTCTTTAAGCTAGAAGCATGCTTCTCAGGCGCGGTAAGACAAGGCCGCTATGGGACTGTTGTAGCCCTCCGCTGCCGGGACACTGCACCAGACTTTTCGTTTCGATATGAAGGTCTCCATCCGACACGAAGTTGACTTCTTCTGTGCATTCTAGGACTGGTCGAAAGCAGTGTTAACATGCAGCAATATGGAGTCTCAAGGTATATGAGCCGCCAGATTACGCCTGCAACGCAAGACATGAGTTATTTTGCGGGATATGATCAAGATACTCCGAAAGTCACAACTCGCAGAGTCTTTGACCAGAACAAGCATCTGCTGTGGCCATTTGGTAATCAGCCATCTTTTTGTCCGCAGCAGTCATTTGTTTAACGGAGCCAAAACGCATGAGTCAAGCTTCGGCGTGACAGGCTATGACTTAAGTCCTTGCTTATGATGATCTTCTTAATATGCGCTACTCCAGAGTACACCTTCTAAGAAGTTACTGATCTCAACAGTACTTGTGGCTTTACGACCCATATCTGAAGTCGAGGTGGGCATTTCCTTGTCTGCCGTAGATTTCTGTGCTCGTACATTCGCTTCTGGACGAACCTTGTGCGACCGTGAGTTATTAACCCTATTCTGCATGCTTGAGAACTCCCAGGTGGTCCTGGCTCGAGTTGCTGCCGACTGCTACTTGTCATGTTTTCTCCCGCATCATCAACTACGTAAACACAGCTAATTCTCTCCTGAAGCGAACCCGCTATCAGCGACAGAATGGTATCAAAAGCGAACGTATCACCCAGTACAGCGCACAGCCGCAGTCATGAAGTATATCACCATTGCCTGTGTTCTTCTAGCGTGTGCTGCCGCTGCGGACCTCCACGGCCACGAGCGCTACCGGCGGCATCCAAAACAGCGCGTTCACGCGCATAAAAAACGCCATACATGCGATGAGGACTTGGCGGTCACGCCGAGTTCTGGACTCGTCCTCGTATCCAGTGCAGACTCCAGCTCCTCTGCTGGTGTGTATACAGCGCAGGCGGCGGCCGCCACGTTAGGCGCCGGAGCGGGTTTCTCTGGGGCAGCCATTTCGGTTTCTGTTGCTCCCGAAGAAACCTCCGAGTCGCCTGCTAGCAGCGAACGCACTTACTCCATTACTGGGGACATCACTTACTATGATGTCGGCCTTGGTGCTTGTGGGTATGATGACTCGGTGCACAATGATACCGGTTTATTCGCTGCCGTGTCTGCAGAGTTTTGGAACGGCATCAGCACGCTCACCAACGCTGGCCCTGGCCTGCCTCTCCACCCTCTTTGTAACAGGAAGGTCACACTCTCCGCTCCGAATGGCAATCAAGTGGTTGTCACTGTCCGCGACAAGTGTCCCAGCTGCGCCAAGGAAGCCATAGATGTCAGCAGAGCTGCATTTCAGGCTCTTTTTGGTAACCTGGATGTTGGCCGAACTAAGGCAAGCTGGAGTGTGAGCTGGTAAGTCCACCGTTCTAGTCTTCGGGCTGCTCCTATCATTTCCGTTTATTAGACAAACGAACAGTGCCCATTTGCATTCCTCCTTCTCATGGATGACGGTCCCACACGGCACCCGTCTCTACTAATCCACAGGATCACCTATGCTCGGAAGATCTTTACCACAAAACGAAATGAGTGCGCATGTCTAACCCTATCCTGGCGCTTCTGGCAAATGGGGCATGCTCGCATGCACTGCACTCGCAGGAACTAGTGAGTCGCTGCCCAAGGGAGAAGAGGCCGTATTCTTTAATCACATAGCAGGGCGACCCGCATATATATTAGGAAAGATAGTGAACCACCTTTTGTATCAAGAGATTTGTATAGTTTCTTTCAAAACGATCTTCAGACGACGAGTTGATGGACAACATCGCAGGATGAATTATGACGCGGCGTGGCAGGACGATTGGTGTGGTCTCTGATGAGTCAGCGGCGCCCAAGACTCAGGACTGTGCTAAGATCAATGTAGCTGTGCTATGGCAGGCCAGACTGACACCCACCAAACGATGGAGGGGAAAGAGATCTAGCTCGTTGTGTCATCCTTTAACGATAGACATCTTTTGAATTTACCCCCTAGACGTTATTGAAGTCCTTAATACCGACTAAGTGATTGAGCTTTTATATATCAAAACCCGGAGAGCATGCTGTCGCAGAATAACCCGGAACATGACTGTCACAGTGCGGAAAGGTGTGCACATCCGACCCGAACGTAGGCGCAACGGATGATGCGCTAGCATAGATCTGACAGCACCGGATGCAGGGTCCGCTCGCGGACCGGTCACATTTCGCGTCAGCTACTCAGCACGAGGGTTGCGCAATTCGCGATCCGGGCAATTCGCGTTTCTGATTGGCGCGACCCGCTCATTGACTGCAGCAAATCCGGACAGGGCTCAATGACGCCTGTCGATGAGACGAACGCAGAGAGAACCTTAATTGGACGTCCTTTCGAAGGACCTTGCGCGCGGCTCTTTCTGGGCCTCCCGATACTTGGCCGCACATGCCACGAAACGGACTGGACAATTATGGTGGGTCGAGTCACCCGTCTTTCCTTGCGGCTCGGAACAAGGCGTGAGGTGAGGTTCCTGAATTATGTGGGGTGCCTCCCCAAACGGCGCCCGTCGACGGCCGCTGCTTTGACGTCCTGCTGGTGCAAAGCCTTCTCTGCAGCAAGCTTGAAGGGGCAGGACCCCACTCCTGTGTCATTGCGAGTAGGTCTGCGCCGCCCAGATGGCGCATCATGTTGTATGGCTGTCTCTCTTTCCGAATTACTCATTCCGACAAGGCTGAGCTGGGGCTAGACAAAGCCGATGAATGGCGACCAGGAATTCCGCCTTGGGGTGGCCGACGTGTGGAAGTTCCCGCTGGCAATTTGGGGCGCAGGCAAGCCCCTGACTCACGCAGGCAAACCGTCCAGCTCGTGGCACGAAAGTGGACCGTGGCACTTGCACCGGACCCACTAACCGGGAGCGTGAACAGGGGTCCTGATGTGCTGTGCCTTCGCGCGACGAGAAGGCCCGTCCTGGGTGTCGACCAACAAGGCAAGCCAGCAACAACCATATAAGGTCACCATCAGCTCGGCATTTCAGGCCCGCATCCTGACAAGAGATCCTCACCCATTTCAAATCACACGAGAAAACGCACTACCGATCCCCAAGCTATGATGCACGCGTGCAACGCTGCCCGAGCGGCGTCCGGAAAGCCAGCCACACTGGCCGCGCCTGTGGCGTGGGCAACATATACAACGCGTTGCCGAACGCCCAGACGCTGTCAAACGACCGTCGATGAAGCTGCCGCTCCTGAGAAGCCGCGTGTGTTGCCGAAAAATCTTCAGTCCATACAGTCCTTCAATGCGCTTGAGGTCCTGGCGGATGGTGCGCGTCGTTGCGACGGCGAGCACCAGCGAGATCCAGCGCTGGAGCATGGACTGCGGGAGCTGAGTATACTCCTCAAAGACAACTCATACATGGGATCAGACCTGCTCCAGTGCTTTGCCAGCTTCCCGGAACCTCCTACGGATATACAGCGCGCTCACCGTACTCTGACTCGCTGGACGCCGTGGTGAAGTTCCTCTTTTCTATGGCCACTTCATGGACCGAGTTGATGAAGAAGCATGCGGCACACGGTTATCCATTGCTGATGGATGAGGCTAGGACTGCTGCATCTGGATCCAGACGTTTTGCAACTTGTCGTCTTCCGTGCCTCCAGGAGGACAGCAGGTGTTCCCCGCGAGCCTGTCGGCACGCAGATGTAGTTTCTATTCGAGGATCAGGACTTTCATCGGTCTGCGGATGGTTTTTTTTTTTTTTGCCAAATGCACAGGATCCTGCCTATGCGAATTACAAAGTCAATCTTATCCAGCGATACCAGGAGTTGGCCCACACCACCCGAAAGCCTAATCGACCCATGCCTCCATATAATCAACATAGCAACAACGATATGTTCAACAGTCGGCCTCGCCAACAGCTGCGGCAAACAATGCGCAGAGCTTTGTCGGAAATGTCCCCTCTCCAGCGGCGCCAAACCAACAGTGGACGGCCCTGCCAAGCCAAACGATGTCCGTGATCGTTGGATCTCTTCACAACAATCCTCCCAGCGTTTCCCAAGGAGTTGCCGCTCGGCCCCAGGAGTCAGCAACCTCGATGAATGTTGCAAGTCATCAATTTTCTACGACCTCGCAAGCACCCTCTCCTGGACGGCAGCGCCAACACAGCACGCGTTGCGTACTGAGGCGCCGGGTTTAGCCTGGCACAGTCAACCCCAGAGACTTCACAGACACATGCGCGGCCGAATGCGCATATCTCGGAATTATCGACAAATCAGCAGGCTAGTGGTGCACACTGGTCCAGTGGCTCACCTGTTTCAGCTCAGTCGCCCGTCGTGCAGGCTTCGACGGCCATGCGCACCATTCACAAACGGCAGGCTGTTCAGCCTCAACAAGCCTTTGTGGCACAGCCAACACCGACTGAACCAACCTCGACCGGCCTCTTGATCCCAGGCCGCACTAACCAGATTCCCATCAATGAATCCCCGAGTGATCCGCAGGATAGTAACTGCATCATGCGTACCCTTCATCATGCCCACATTCGTAGTCCAAAGCGCCTCCGTATACGACCCGAAGCACAGAATGAGCGATACTACCAGTCAGTCAGGAGACTCGTGTTAGGTCCTACCTCAATTGCCCCTAGCGCCGTGGTCCACAAATTCAGCTTCCACTTGGGTCCTAGAGATCGTGATCGTTTGACACATGTCGAAACCGATCCCGATGATCGACTCCCTATTCAGGAATACACCAACGGAACCGTACGCGTCCGGATCCACTACTGCTATCTGCTCGACCAGCGGCACAGCATCACTGACAGCGACTGGGTCACGAAAGACGTTATCTGGCCTGAACACCTTTTTCTAGAAGTCAATTATTCCGGCTTGACCTTACGGCGAAAGGCGCACCATTCCAAAGACTTACCGGTTGAGGTTCCAGCAAACGCGCTCTCGGAGGAGAACCACCTTCATGTCTGGGTTCCGGAAACTGCTAAACGCCCACGGCAGGCGCCGAAGAACAGTCACCCATATCTCGCGGTAGAGCTTGTCGAAACGCTAAGTCACTCAGCCATTTTGAGCTTGGTCAAGGCTCACGGCATTCAGCAATCCTCGAAGACTCTTAAAGTCATCAGGCGACGATTATCGAGCACTACAGCCAGTAATGATGATGAGATCGCGGTGGTTAGTCACGAGCTGGTCATTGACTTGGCAGACCCATTCACCTCCGCAATCTTCAAGACTCCGGTACGTGGCATGAATTGCACCATCTTGAGTGCTTCGATCTGGAGACGCGGTTGAATACCCGATTAGGCAAAAAGAAGACATGCACGTGCGGCAAAGGGGGGTCATCGTGTCAGAGTTGCCCAGATGAACCTTCCTCCGTGGACAAGTGGAAGTGCCCACTGTGCTCAGGTGATGCTCGGCCATACAGCTTGCGCATCGACGAATGGCTGGCTGAGGTTCGCGACAAACTCGAGAAAGACGGCACATTACGCGCCAAGGCCATCCTTGTGTCCGCGGATGGAAGCTGGAAGATCAACGAGGTGGTCGAGGAGTATTTACCGCCTGGAGCAGCGCCAGAATTTGGTAACAACAAGTCTGTTGCAGCGGTGGTGAAGGAGACGCCTGTCATTGCCATCGACAGTGACTAAGGTGAAAAGCGCAGAGAGCCCTGATAAGTTGCTGGGTGTGTCTTCTCAGCCTTTCCATAGACTTTCATTAAAGCATTGAGCCTGGGTCAAAACTGGCGATTATATATCTGATAAAAACCAGAATCCCTCTATGATATCCAGTTTGTAAGCCGCGTGCGGGTCCCAATGCTAGTTTGGCTTGCTTAGTTTTACGTCTAATCTTACACTTTTAGTGTCTTAGCAACTTATAGGGCTTACAAAATTACTACCATACTGAAATATCTCTGATCGGGGAAAAAGAAGAGCATCACTTTTCATCGAATGATTCGTTCATAACGTGTTCCTTCATCCACCTCTTACTACAGCGCGATTCTCCAGGTCCCAAGGGACATAGAGGCGCTCCCGCATCTCCTGCGCATTGGACGCGTGGGATGGCAGAGCCGATGGTTATCGCGGGGGCTTCTGCTGGGCTCGACCAGAGTAAACACCACCCACACGCGGGCCAAAGCGCAGAGGCACCGCAGGCGGCGCGCGCACACACCGAAGGTGACACTGAGGCGAGCGTTTGAACGCAGAACTCGACTATCGAACAAGAAATTGCCGACGTATTTGGGAATGAGGATAAGGCGTGCCTCCACGACCTCCTCGAGAAATTCTACGCCCTCCGTATACGACGCGACCGAGCCTCGAGCGGGGCACGACCGAGAAACATATCGAAGGCGCCATCGCGAAAACCGTACAGGTGACTATCGACGCGGAGGAGAAGAAACAGAAACCTACTTGGGCCGCGGTCGCGTCGAGCCCGCAGCTTAGTAGCAGTGCATGGCAGCCCCCGGTTTGACATCCCCGAACGCAGGGAGATGCAGGTAATAATATCGGCCCCCGAGGGGAACACACTCCCTGACAGGGACCCAAAGCGACGGTGGAGGGTGTGAACGCCGCCCTGTGCGGCCGGGACACTCTAGCAGCGATGCGCCTTCAGTCCGGCGATATCATGATAACCTTCGCGAGTAAAGCGGCCAAGCCCGGGCGCGACGACTAGTGGCTGGAAGGGGCCTACGGCCAAGGGGCGTTTCTGAAGCACCGCCAAGTCGCGGTGATCGCGAAGGGCATACCGACGGCACTACTGGCAGCCGCGCACGATGAGCGCACACTGGCCGCGCACACAGCGACGGAGAATAAGGCGGGCATCACAAGGTGCAAACGGGGCCTCCCTATGAACAACCAAGCGGCGAACGCATCGCTCATCATTTTCACCAACGGCGTAAGCGCAGCTCAGGAGCTGGTCCAGCGCGGGTCAGTCCGGCAGGCTCGAATTTTCGACTACGAGCCTTACGACCCTAGTCTCCGCGGTTCCTTCAATGCTACGACTGTTACGGCTCCGGCCACAGGGCCCGGGTGTGCAAGGCCAAGCTGAGGTGCGGGTACTGCGGCGGCGGCGCGCAAGAGGGCGGCTAGAAGAAATGTACTAGGGCGGCACCGACCGCCAGGAAGGCATGCGTCAACTGCCATGGACCACACGCGGCATATGACCGGCGCTGCAGGATAGTGCAGACGGGGCGCGAGTGAGTCCGCGAAGCATTCGCCCACCGGGCCCGCCGTTTCGAGGCAGCCGAGAGTGTCGACCGTGTCGGTCCTCCGGAGCGATAATGACACTAGGGCACCACCCGTGAGCACCCGCGGGGAGCACGCCTTGACGACGACGCGCGACGAGTGGCAGGTCGTGCAGGGTAGAGAACGATCCAGGCCCCGTGGCCGCCCACGGAAGCAAACAGCGTAGAGCGTCGGCGGTAGCCAGGATAGGGCTATACCGTCAATGTTCATTGCGCCCGCGAAGCGGAGGCGTGGCGACGGAGGATCAATCGCAGCGCTACCGGAGACGAACTCAACCCGATCAAGATGAAGCTCTCAGTCCTGTACTGGGACACCGCAGCAAGCAGGCAGAACACGGCGCAGTCCCTAGAAGACCACGCCGAGTACGTGGTCCAACAGGGACAAAGGGGGTTCTACTGCCCCAGCCGCTGCCGCTACACGGCGATTTACGAAGGCGGCAGAGCGTTGTTCTACGTACATAAGTGGCTTGACCCAGCCTCGTGGACGTGGCGCGAGGCAACCGATTGGTGCGTCATTACCTTCGGGTCGGAGAACGGGGCTTATGGTAATACGCCGCCCTATCGTTCGGGGCTGGCATTTGGCATCCATCCCCCCACGCTGAAGCACGGCAAGAAGGAGACAGGCCCAAGCAGCGAAAGTGCATCGATACAGTCGTAGTGCCTCCGCGTCGTCTGCAGCGCACCACTGTCGACCGCTATCCGGCATCTTGAGGGCGAAGCCTGCGTCCCTCCCTTGGACCTACACCTGAACTATGTCACCGCAAGCTTTCAAGAGAGGACCGAGAAGGAGGATGAGGAGAAGCTTGTGCGCATCGCGTCCGCAAGGGCAGCGGGCTTTGTCAGCCGCGCACTTTGGGCGCGGCGGAAACGAAACTCGACGGCGAGCAGCCCATTGCCGAGACCTGACGCAGTACTGACATAACAAGTGACAGGCCTCCTGGCGTGGACCGGAGGGTCCTCGCCCAAGCTCGCGCTCATCGAGGGGTGGGAGGACCGCTGGAACGCTGCGCGTGCGCAGTGCACAGACCCTAGACCGATCGCGGAGGACTGCCAGAGCAGGGGCAGTGGCTCCGCCGCTGCCGTCGGCGCGGTCGTCGGCACGGGAGGCACCTAGCAGCTGAGCTGCTGCGAGGGCAGCGGCGGCAAAGGACTGGACGAAGCTATCAGCATATGGATACCGTGAGCAAGCCGAGGTCGTCGCGGAGACGAGGCGCTCGATACGCTCGCGCGCAGCACTTACTGGGTCGGCATCGCTCTGGGCGTGCTCCGGGCGTCGAGCATCTCGCGCACGGCAGTAACGCCTCTGGAGGGAGAGGGGCGGTGAAGATTGCTGCTGCTGCTGCTGCTGCTGCTGCTGGCGCATCCGCTCTCCCCCTGGCCAGGGCCGCAGAGGCATCGGCAGCGATGGTTTTGAGTCGTGCGCTTGCTTCGTCCTACGCGCCGCCGGAGAGGGCGCGCTTGAGATGTTTCGATTCGGGTCTGGAACATGGCAAAGTTAGCAAGTTAGATGGGAGTGAGATTGTAGGCGGCGACGTACCCATCGTTGTTGCTGTTGCTGCTGTTGCTGTGGCTGATCAAGACGTCAGCGCGAGGCCCTCGACGAGGAACACTGATAGGTTGACGATGGCTTGAAGGAAGAAAGAAGGAATCACGACGACGACGACGACAATGCCGCCGTCAGCATGTAAGGTACTGCAGTACCTGCCAGTGGTTGTCCCGGATACTGAGGCCGACCTATACGACGACTTCAGGCTGAGAAGCGTCGCCATAGACACGCCCGCGCTGCTCCAACGAAGGGCACACGCACCAACGAACCGCACTTTCCCGCGAACCACGCTGGCTTGGTGGCCTGGAGGGTGGCCACCTCGCCCAAAGAACGCCTGGCTGGTGGGAGCCTTTCGTACTACGCGACAGAACCACGCAGCGCAGACGCCGCTTAAGCGTGCCGAATACGTAGCGTATATAATCATCACGCTCCGGCACGGTTCGTTATACAATAGATTTGCAGTCTCGCGAAATCGAGATAGGTAACGCGTGCTACTACTACTAATAATAATCATAATAAAATTGCTACCAAGAAAATGGACTCCATAATATAGCCATCCTTAAGTTAGATTGCTTTAATCGTAAGTCAGCTTTAAGATGTAAAGTTAGCGTTAATCAGCTATATAGATAACCGAACGGAGGTAGTAAAGATAGCTTTTGTTAATTCCCTTCCCTCCTTATATTTACTGTTACTAACGTGTGTCAAAACACTCCAGAAGGTTTCGAAGTTTTTCGAAGTGAGCATAAGCCTCGTTTTCCGAGAAAGGTTCAATACTGGTGACTCGTGTGGGGAAGGAAGCAATTTTCTGCTTTCCGTTGAATGTAATCGGTCCTTTGTGATCGAAAGTTTTATCTCGTCCTTTCGGCTTAGCCGGAGATCGCGGTAGTTCTGCTTTTGCTGGAACTGGAGCCCCCTCGTGCCTGTTCCTATGATAGCGACATGACGCTTTCATCCGAGGACAAACCGTTCCGTTGCCCATAGGCCACTTGCACATGACTTGATCGACGTCTGGGATGGATTGGGCAGCACGCTTTTTCGCAACCATTTGTTTTGGCGTAGGGTACAAGGGTGGATTAAATAACGTTGAGTTGATATTACTAACGCTTCATTGCTGTCCAGTAATATAACAAATTATCGAAATGTAACGGTGATGATTATGTGACTGCTCTCGTACGGAATCTCAAAACACTCTGTAGATTACGCTTTTGTAAATATAAATCACCCATAATCAGTGCTTTCTTCTCTAGCTGACACACTGACCCCCAAGAGTAACGCGTTTCCGACTAGATAGGGCTCCGCATCTTTAGTCTTTAGCATGCCTTTTACTTAGGATTAGAATAGTGTATTGCAGCCAGTTGCACCTGATATACATAAAAGAGCGTAGTGTCTCGTCCTATATTGTGGCGTTCGACGGTGGTTCATGAGTTCGCGAACCAAATCGATACGACGAAACAACTTGCACAGGACTATCATTTTCTACTCTTGTATAATTACTCCCCATCACTTTTCGTTTCCTCTGTCTCGTACCAAAATGCCTGATCCACCTTGACAGGTTGCACAAATTGTCTTTCCTACGACATGAAGTGACAGGTTACCAAAGACATGATTCAGACAGAACCTTACTAATACAGTCAAAAGGCTTGGGAGAAGTAGTAAATTTGCAAGCAATGGGGTTCACTCGGCCTCCTCGATAGGAAGCATAATGAGGAGAAGGGTCCATGCGAAATTGCGCTTAAGACTCGGATTCTGGCCGCGCCTGGACCTGATACCCGCGTGGGGTAGCAAGTGTTCATTCTAATTGCCGTTCTTGATGAATTTGCCTGGCTCGTGACGGTGCCTAAACGACGGAGGGCATGCACCTT